GTGTCTAAGGAGGGTGACTATGGCGCCCGGACTATGAGCAGAATGACCCACTCACCTGCAAAGCCTCCGATTACGGAGGAGAAGCTGAGGGACATGCTTGGTGAGCTGTGCCGCAATATTGCAGCTGACATCGGCATGTTCCGCAAGGAGATTAGTGGAGTGTCGGCCCGTCTGCAAAAAACAGAGCTCAACACTGCCACACAAGAGACCCGACTCGTAACAGTAGAGCAGCAACTCCTGATCCTGCAAAAGGCCCAAAGGCAACAGCAAGACAGCATGGCAGTGCTAGAAGATAAAAGGCGCTGGAAGAACATCAAAGTCCGCCGCCTGCCTGATGCGGTGGAGACCACACCTATTCCGCAGAATGTTTAGCACACTCTTTATGGCCAGACAGGCCAAATCAATGCCACTGGATAGCTGGTATCAGATCTCCAGGCTGCTGACAAGATTCCCGGGGGGGGGAGGGGGTAGATGTAATCATCCGCTTCCAGCAAGGCCTTTATGGCAGCCATGCACAATAAATCCACTTTCCACTTTGAAGGCTATTCCCTGACCTTCTACCCTGATCTGTCCAAGGCCACCATGGACTGGAGAAGGTTCCTGCGACCCCTGACTAAAGAGCTCCTAGCACAAAACATACCCTACCGGTGGGGCATACCCAGAACCCAGGGACACTGGTAACCTCAAAGTGCATGAAGCAGCGGAGATCCCAGCCATACTGCAGAAACTAGAGTTGGAAAGGCAAGTACCTGAGCAAGCTGATCCTATGATACCAACGACCTCTGTAGCCTGGAATCCTGCAATGGTGCGCCTGTTCATACTGGCGGCCCAACGAGGAGAAGCAGCATCCACTTTGGTGCCCTGAACTCTTTGCTAATAATAATGCCTGTTGCTTTTATGTTTCTTTAATATTCCTTAAACCTCCAAGAGTACCGTTACAATTTTTATTTTTTATTACATATGGCATAAGTGATGTACCTCTAAATATAATTCTCCATGCACTGTCCAGTTTTCCTCACCCATCTAATGCACCCTGCGCCGCACGTATATCTATAGAATATCTGTCTCACAACCTTTAGGCAGGAGCTGCATACCAGTGACCTAACGGTTTTACTTTTTTACTAGTAATAGTATTGCAATATATTAAACATGTGCTATGATATCAATGCCAACAATTGTTAACCCATGTTGAACAAACAACTTGCACTAGCTGCTGTGGCAATGCAAGCTTGTCTGTACCATTTATGCACTACTAAAATAAAGAATTTAAAAAAAGAAAGAGGCTAGTTTATTTCAATGTAGTATGGTACCATAATTGCTATTGTTACCAAATTAGATTTACCATACTGTATTACTGTACACATTTCTGCTTCTATGGTAATAACTACTACTGCGACCTAATCAAACTCGCCATATTGTCATGCTTTGCAAATCCTTGCTCTTATTATTATTGTCAGGTCTGTCCCATTGTATCTGATGTTAAATCTAATGCCACAATAAAAAACAAAGATTGACAAAAACAATTTACATGATTATTTGGGACCATAAATTCCCTCCTATCACTCTGACATCTCCCTTAGCTGATAAAAGTTCAATAAAGATTACTCAAGAGTCGAGATTCCTTGCCTGCTTCCAAAGACGTCAGTATGCCTTTTTACTTTTTCCACGATCCAGTCAAATTCAATTAATTTGACAGGATCATGGAATGAATGATATGCGCATGCATGGCAAAATACAGCATTCCTCCAATAAAATGTTGTTTTTGGCAGCATTTGATTGCAGAACCAAGTTCACATGGTTCTGGAGGCAGAGGACCTCTTGTGGCTGTCAGGGAGACCATTTACCTTTACAAATCAGCAACATTTTACATGTTAAAATGACAGGACCACTGCACCCACACCACTTCATTTAGGTGTCGGGTTACTTTAGTGGTCCTTTGTGGAACATGGAAACATGTTGATATTTTCTTAACATATTTTTGACAAAGAGCATGGAAACAAGACCATAAAATGTCCATTTATGTTTACCTGTTGACCATGCCATTTTAATGCAGAGCAAAAACCAGAGACCTTTTTTAATTGTAATATACAAACACAGAAAGCATTGGTATTAAATGAATACTAAATCTCATTAAATACTGTGAATCACTCTAACATGTCTCTTGTGCAACTGTGGTAAAATACTAAACATATATGTATCTTATATAAATACATATATAAATCATTTCTTTTATGAGACCGCACAAGAACTACATTCCACTAATAGGACACTAGATGGTAGCAAATAAGAAAAAAGAATGCTATCATCGTTTAACACTCATTATCTCCAGCAGTGAAGGAATTTCACTTGATATGCTGTCACTGTTGTAAATAATTCACCAAAATAATTTCACAAACAAAAATGTTTTGCCCACTTAGCTTGGTCCATCCATTATCGTAACATTAATTTCTTTTAATTTTGGAAATGGAAGTTGAAAATTACAGCTATTAAAATCTCATACCACTGTGTACTGCAACATTCGCCACTAATGTGGCTATAAAGTAATACCAAAAAGATTATTTCTGCATTTTATCTGCTATGCATATTACTGAAAATAAGCTTTTAAATGTTCATATTAAACTTATTTAACCCATAAGGTGAGGTGTGGCATGTTTGCTTGGACAATCCAAACGTAAAAATGATCTTTTTCATCCATTATTCTAATTTAGAGACTGCGTTTAAAGGAACACTCCAGTCACCAGAAATACTCCATCTGAACTCATGGTTTGTGTCTTTCTAATGCATTTTCTCAATTGTAGGCCATTTGCAGACTGAGAGCATCAGCTGATAATCTCAGTTTATTATGTGCACGTAGTGCGAGATATCTGCATTGAAGCCAGAACTGGTAGAGAAGGCACAGGGCCCTATTGGGCACTGTTTGGAGCAGAGCATACTTGGAGTAAATTATTCACAAATTGTTTAACCCTTTAGGGTAAGATGGCAGCCAGGACCCCAGGACACCATAACGACTTCAGCCAAACCATCAGAGTTTAAAAGGACTTCACAAAACTAATACACCATGGTTTGCGCATTAAATATTACAAATGATTATCCCTTTATGAATAAACCTTTGTCTTGTCACTCTTTATAATGTTATTTTGCAAACGTAGATCAATTTGGAAATATTCCAAAACAGATGGACTTCTTAAAGGGTCGTCACTCCACATTAAATCTTTATGGGCCTGGATCTTAGCTACTACATGGCATAAAGATCAAGACACATTGATTATAAGTTGTGGCACTTTGATTTAATTTCCTGGGGGTATTAAAATTTATTTTAAAAGTATAAGTTATTTTAAAAGGAATATCTGTGTTTTTTTAAAGGATCTACAATCAGCCCCACCTGCATTTCTTCCTGACATTTTTCTCAAATTCTTCCATTTTTGATTAAGAAAAAGCAAAAGAGATGGGTGCCAATTTTAGCCCTGTTCTTCAATTTGGCTTAAAACCTTTGATCCAACTGGTGGATGGAATGTCTCCAAGGGATTGCTAAAGACCTCTTGTTTTTCTTGAACCGGAATTATGGGGAATAAATCAGATACTTCCAAATAACAATAAGGCAAAAAAAGGATGGAACACCCCTTCCCATTTCAAACAAGTAAATTATCCCCTTAGTGACCAGACTGTTAAATTTCTTACCGTTAAAGGACCACTATAGTGCCAGGAAAACATACTCGTTTTCCTGGCACTATAGTGCCCTGAGGGTGCCCCCACCCTCAGGGACCCCCTCCCGCCCGGCTCTGGGGAGAGGAAAGGGTTAAACACTTACCTTTCTCCAGCGCCGGGCGGGGAGCTGTACTCCTCCTCCTCTCCTCCTTGCTCGCGACGTCATCGGCTGAATGCGCATGCGCGGCAGGAGCCACGCGCACATTCAGCCGGTCGCATAGGAAAGCATTTACAATGCTTTCCTATGGACGCTTGCGTGCTCTCACTGTGATTTTCACAGTGAGAAGCACGCAAGCGCCTCTAGCGACTGTCAATGAGACAGCCACTAGAGGCTCTGGAGGCTGGATTAACCCTCAGTATAAACATAGCAGTTTCTCTGAAACTGCTATGTTTATAAAAAAAAGGGTTAATCCTAGAGGGACCTGGCACCCAGACCACTTCATAAAGCTGAAGTGGTCTGGGTGCCTAGAGTGGTCCTTTAAGGACCAGGGCTGTTTTTACATTTCTGCAGTGTTTGTGTTTAGCTTTAATTTTCCTCCTACTCATTTACTGTACCCACAGTACCCATATACCATTTTTCTTGCCATTAAATGATCTTTCTAAAGATACCATTATTTTCATCATATCATATAATTTACTATAAAAAATTATAAAATATGATGAAAAAATAAAAAAAAACACCTTTTCTAACTTTGACCCCTATCTACAACTGCCAAAAATCACCCGTGCTAAATAGTTTCTACATTTTAACATGTTAACATTTGTTTAGAAATACCCAATGTTAACATGTTCTTAGCTTTTTTTTGCAAGTTATAGGGCTATAAGTACAAGCTGTTTCAAAATATGAATTTTTAAAATGTCTTAATAGTGACATTGCAACACTGTTATCTGTCATAAATCTCTGAATCAGATGACCCAGGGTATTCAATATATGGTATGTCCAGTCTTTTTTAGTAGCCACTTAGTCACAAAGTTAGCATTTATATTTGTTTGTGTTTAAAAATGCAAAAAAACGATTATGAACACTAAATTTGGCCAGTGTTTCTGACTAAGTGGCTACTAAAAAACACTGAACATACCCCATTTGCAATACCTTCGGTTGTCTTCTTTTGCAAATGGTATGCCATCATGGGGGCAATTCTCATTCCTGGGCTAACATAAGCTCTCAAAGGCAACATAACCGATCTGGCAAATTTCAATGTGAAAAAATGGAAAATCAAGCCTTATATTTGACCCTGTAATTTTAAAAAACACTATAAAACCTCTACATGGGGGGTACTGTTATACTCAGGAGACTGAACACAAATATTAGTGTTTCAAAACAGTAAAATATATCACGACAATGATATCATCAGTAAAAGTGCCGTTTAGGTGTAAAAAAATGCAAAAAACTTCACTTTCACTGACAATATCATCGCTGTGATATGTTTTACTGTTTTGAAACACTAATATTTGTGTTCAGCAAAGTCTCCTGAGTAAAACAGTAATCCCCCATGTACAGGTTTTAGGGTGTCATGGAAAGTTACAGGGTTAAATACAGTGCTAGCAAATTAAATTCTCTGGATTTTCGGCCTGGGTTGTCAGGCAGGTCCCTCAAATTGCAATCAATAAAATTACTTAATTATGTAAAAATATTACATAAATATGCATGTAGAATTTAAATAATAATTAAAGTCTACGTGTATATTTATGAAATTATTTATGTAATTATCTATATGGATATACCGTACATATTTCATATTATATTTATTTATATATACATATATATAGATGTATATAATTTCATTCTAAGTGTATTTTGATATAAATATATATGTATATTAATATCAAAATACAGTTAGAATAAAATTACATATCTGTTTTGTCTAAATTAATATTATTACATATATCTTTCAGAGTGATCACATGGCCCGTGGGAGCCTAATTTGCAGAGGGGGGACTGTCTGACTTTTCGATCGTCGGCAGGGGAACGGCAGTGATCGTGTAAGAAATAAGGATATGCTGCGGACCGTTTTTTGTCGGATGTACCTAGTACGTCCCCGGTCCTTAAGGGGTTAAAATATGGAGGTGTATAGATGCCTGCATATATATATATATATATATAATATGTGTTTTACTTGCTGAAAAAGACATACCTTCTATAATCACTAAAACCTACCAAACATAGAGAGGAGAAGGAACCAATATCTTGGCAAATCCCTGTCACAGTTATCACCACAACATACAGACAGCGAGACGTGGTCGCCCTGGAAGAGCCCAACAGGGGTCTTGTGCATTCCAGGTCTGTGTCTCTGCCTCCGAACCACTTTCAGTTCTTGCTTTCAGCCTGGAAGTTCATTCCTGCCCTGCCTAGCATCCAGCACTGGGGGCTGGACATTATTTAGAATTACTCCTGGTACACCTGTTGTGGATAGTCTCGTTAGCTAGGTATAAAACACTGCCTCTCCCAGAAGGCAGTGTCAGTTCCTTGACTCTGGTTATCGGTTTGCTGTCTGCTGTTATCCAGTGTATCTCTTGACCCCAGCTTGTTGTTTCGTTGATTCTGATTTCTGGCATCCTTTGACCTTTGGCTTCCCACGACGATTCTCCTGCTTTATCTGTTCCTGTACTGCGACTTGGAGAATTATCCTGCAAAGCTTCCATGCACTGACTCACAGACCAGGTGAATTCTTACCTGACCACCTTGGCCTGTGTTTACTTGCAAGGGTGAGCATATATCTCTGCCTGCTGGACTCCCAACTCAGGTAAGCCCTGACAATCCCATTATGTAAATATGATTCTATTCCTTTGACTATTGTCGATAGATGCTACAAATATTATTGAACTGTAAGGACTTAAAGGCCCTCAATAAAAAAGAAACAAATTACAAAATTTCATTTACATTTTCACTTGTCATACTACCCAAAGCCTTCCCATTGGTTGGGGCATGAGTTTACTTTGCTGAATGAAATCTAGAAGCAATGAAAAAAAATACAAAATTGACTGTATTAGGGGTTCTGCTATCAACACTATTAGATAAAAAATGTAACCTGTAACGGCTACCCCGCTGTAGGGGGGTACCTGCCGTTGGAGACGTCCTTTTCTAGGCAAGCTGCTGTGGGGTAATGGAGTTCTTATTCCCATCCACGATATCCAAAGGTATAATCCGGCAGTGCTGTAAAATGAGGCATAGTAACGGTACCATAAATCCCCTCCAAGAACGAGACGAGGCTACGTTTTGAAGGGTCAAGTAGAACTGATGTTTATTGACAGGGGTCTCCTTTTATGCAATAGTGCCCTCTGAAAGGCTACACCCACATAATTATCACAACAGCCAATTAGATACATGGTTCAACCCCCACGTCTCCTCCCCTCAGATAACATATAACATAATTAAAACAGACACAATTTTAACCACATTCTGGATGTACCCCAAAAACAGGGGGTACACCTTTAAGTCCAGCACCGCTTACTAGCTCTCACTCAGGGGAACAATATATCCAAATTTCAGCCCATTTGGTTGAGGGGTTTGGGAGTTATGGATCTTTGAAGTTTTCTCCGTTCGTGCATTAATACCCCACGAACCCCTTGCCATTTACAGTCATCCTGGTGTTCGCTGGAATCCCTATGCAGGCTTAAACAAACCTACCGAACGGCCGGTCGTTCGGTAGTTCCAGCACAAACTTACGAGCTCCTGGAGGTCTCAGCGGTGTTCGCCTGTTTGCGTATCCGTTTTTAGTTCCATGCGTTCACAGGCAAAAACCGCCGTTCGTGCGTAAGATGGCCGCGAACACGTGTAAAGTCCCGAAATGGCGGCCATCTAACCTGAGCACAAAGGAATTCGTATGAACTATGCGAACGGCCCCACTATCACTGGGAGGTAAAATATCAATTAACTGTTCCCCTGGGTGGTCTGATGTTCGGTATTTTGGGCTGTATGTTACAGTAGGAATATTTACACGAAAACTAGCCATTCGGTTTTTGTTTGACACATCCAGCAGCATTGTTATTTAAGTCCAGGCAAAAGTATAGGCACAATCATAGTTCTGTTACATAACACATGCTGCCATCTCATAGCACAGTCTTAATGGGCACTGAGATCACTCCCCTTTCATATAAAGGAAAATTATCTACTAAACATAATTCAAGCAATACCAATTTTGTCTGTAACTATATGTTATAATGTGCCTGTCTGAAATTATGAAAGTAAAAAAATAAAAAATCTGCCAAATTATAATATTAGAAAAAACAATTATAAAGCAATTGGTACTTAGTTTGTAATTGGAGCAATTACCATGGAAACTAAATGAGTAAGTACATTCCTTTAATGGTTATCACACTTTTGCAACTATGTACAACCTTTCTGATTACTTTTGCAAAATTCGCTGATAGAGAATGAATTATTTTACCTATGCAATGCTTAGTGAATATTCCCTTAGACATACAGAGCTATAAATAAATATATACAGTAACCTATGGATGTATTGCATATTGAGATGTGGATTTAATAACAATTGTAGTCGGGGACATTAAGCCATAATAATAATAATACAGTGGGACCTTGGTTTACGAATTTAATACATCTCCGGGACGTTTCTTATTGCGAAACATTTGTAAATCGAAACGTGTTTTCCCATAGGAATGCATTGAAAACCAATTAATCAGTTCTGGAAGTCAGAAAAAAGTCAAAATGAGCTGGCATGGAAACCAACCCACAATGCAGAATACACAATAAAAGGCATGCAAACAATGAAGCTCAGCTCACTACCTTTCAACAGCTTGAGAAATGCACCCAAAAGTCACAAAACAACTGCAAACAATTTGCAGAATAGCTCCAAAACTCGATGCAAAAGTCGCTCCAACACCTCCACACTCGACACCACGTGCTACCCACAGGCGCCAGCATACAAGGGGCCATGCTATAAACCTCCCATGTGCAATGCATCCTGGGGAAACTTGCTTTGTATTGCAAAAACATTGTAAACCGAGGATTTATTATTAATGGATTTTCATTTGTAAACCGAAAATTATGTTAACCGAGTCGTTTGTAAACCGAGGTCCCACTGTATAAGTAAGCACAAGTTGGTCGTGGTGTGCCGGAACTGATGTATGTGGTAGGCCTGTAATAAAAGAGGGCCCATCCATGAATTGTGATAAAGGGCAAAAGAGATAAATACCACTATGGAGTCTAGGAAACGTGTGTCGCCGCTCTGATAGTTAGAAGAGAATTTGGCATAGAGAGTGAATGCCCTATTGTAAGCCCGTGATATATTGGTAGAGAGCAGAGCTGGCCAGGTATTTGCTGTGAGCCATGAGGCGCTTTCGTCCAGGATTAAGTCTTGGAATGAGGGAGTGCTGACCGGACTGATGTTGGCTGTAGGATGTGCTCTGAACAAATCCTGCAAATTAGAATTAGACAATGCATCAACAGCTGTGTTAATGCGGACAGGAATGTGTATTCAAGTAATAGGAAATTATAGTGTAGCTGCTAGCCATGTCAATCTTCTATTTGGTCTCATGATGATGAGTGATGAGAATCTGCCCTTATTTATGATATCACAAGCCGCTTTGATGTCAGAAAAGCATTTCCTGCACAGATACCCTCAGGCTTTGGATGCTGCCACAATAGGGTAGATTTCAAATACATAAACTCCAGACCCTCCATCCAAGGGGACTTAATATTGATATAGATCTCATGTGTTTTTTGGATTAGTACTTCCCTTTTCTACATCAGTGCCTTTTTAGGAAGGATCCTTTAACCCATTCTTTCTTCCCATTCTTATGAAGGGCATATGATGCTCTTGCTGCTTTCTTGTATCTATGGAGCTCTCGAAATGTATATGCTGGTATGGCTGTCAGCCATTTAATCAGAATGGGATATCTGTATTCAACTAGATAGGTTTATATAATTTTCTCAGGAACAATTTTCACTAAGTGCACGGTAAAAAAGTACACTATGGATATCACTTAATCAATAAGGAATATCGATTGTAATTCACAATATAGGCAAATAAGCAAAACAAAATTTTTTTTTTTTAAATAAATAATCACTTTTGATAGGATGATAATTTTAATGGGAATAGGCCTTTAAATAGGTAAAGATTTGAAATGTCTTGTATTCTATTTGATTGAGGTTTATCAATAGAATATACACACTGGTATGATTATGAACTATTTGATTAGGATAGGTTATTTGTGATTGAATTGGATAAATATATATAATGCTCACTGTATAGGAATCCATATATTGGCTTCACAGATTTTTATATTTGTTAATTTAGAAGATGCACACCAATGGAATTACCTATGGGGTATATTTACGATCATAATGACACACTAAAATATAAAGGGTTAAGTTAAATTATGATTATTATATATTTTTCATTCAGAGATACTTTAAAAAGTTTAAGTGTATAAAAAAGGGGAAAGGGGAATAGAACTATTTTATATTAAGATCTCAATAGAGATACTAGTAAGGTGTGT